CCCCCCCCCGACCCCCCCATCCCTGCCAGCAGTCCCACTCACCAGGGCAGGCGATGCTGAAGCACTGCTGCTCCTGCACAGCCTGACCACGGCACCGGTGCAGCACACCAGGTCGGTGCTGATGGCAGCCCCGCGTGCGCTGCTGCAAGCCGGGGCCGCAGGAACGGGTACAGGTGCCCCAGGGCCCCCAGGACCCCCAGACCCCACAGTCCTGCTCGTCCTGGGGTGGTCCCCCCCCGGCCCCACAGTCCGGCACCCCGTCGCACACCTGCGGCACCGGTGTGATGCTGAGCCGGGGAGGCGGCGAGGCAGCACTGTAGGAACCCCCTGGTGGCACCGGGAGGGGCAGGGGTCCCCCACAGCCCCCATACCTGCTGGAAGGTGACGCACTCATCCTCGCCGCAGGTGTATTCGGCGCAGGGTCCCCCCGTCCGGTTGCTCCCACCGGTGGGGACGTGGCTTTCTGGGGAGGGGACAGGGGGTGGCCATGGTGGGGTGGCCGTTCCCAGCCGCAAACCCCAGGCGCTGTCAGGCTGCAGCCCCCCGCCACCCCTCACCTCCCTTGCTGGGGAGCCCCTCACCACAAGCCAGCTCATCCTCGCCCCGGGGACAGTCGGTGGCACCGTCGCAGACCCTCGATGTGTTGAGGCACAGGCCATCGTCGCAGGCAAAGTGCCCCGGACACGGCGGGATGGCGGTTGAGCCTGCACCGGGGCCAGAGCACCATCAGGCGTGACGCTGTGGGGGGACCCCCAAGAGCATCCCACCATGCTGGGTGTCACTGGGGAGGGGGACACCGGGGGAGACCCCGACCACAGCTCACCACAGCGGTCGGTGCTTTCATCAGAGCGGTCGTGGCAGTGGGGGACGCCATCGCAGAGGTGGCCGTAGGGGACGCAGTCGGTGCCGTGGGCGCAGGGGAAGTGTCCGGGCTCGCAGCCACCGGCACAGCCCAGCTCGTCGCTGCCGTCGCGGCAGTCGGCTTCGCCGTCGCAGAGCCAGCCCCGCGGCGTGCACTCCCCGCTCCCGCAGGCGAAGGCGTAGGGGCCGCACACCGGCACTGGGGGCCGCGGGTCACCGTGGGGTGCCCGGCCCAGCGGTGCCCATCGCACCCCCATCCCCACCAGGTCCCATCCCAGCGCAGAGCACGGTGATCCCGGCAAACCTCCCCCGTGCCAGCACCGGGGCTATGGGGCAGGGCAGCGGGGAGCCGCGTGGGGAGTCCGGCCGCCCCACAGCATCGCCACCCCTCACCTGCCGAGGCGTTGGCAGGGGTGGTGAGCACGGCAGCGGCCAGTGCCGCCGCACACCCCGCCGGGCTCTCGTCCCAGCCATCCCGGCAGTCATGGTGGCCGTCGCAGACTGTGGCCTCGCCAATGCAGGAGCCGTTGGGGCAGGGCAGCTGCCCGGGGGCGCAGGTCACCCGGTCTGGGGGGGGGACACACAGTCCCATGGGGCGATGCTGCCACGGGCAGGGGGTCCTGGCGGCGGGGGCTGAGCCCCGTGGCCCCTCACCTGGGCAGAAAGCCTCGTCGGTGCCATTGGCACAGTCGCGGTGGCCATCGCAGACGGTGGATGGGGGCAGGCACCGGGCATCGGGACACTGGAAGCGGCCAGGGGGGCAGACGCAGCCGCGTTCATCGCTGAAGTCACCGCAGTCGTCGTGGCCGTCGCAGCGGTGAGGATATGGCACGCACCGACCCACCGCGCAGCGGAACTCACCCGCCTCGCAGCTCGGGCTGCAGCCTGCAGTGGCAGCGGTCAGGGACCCCCGCCGTGGCGCATAGACCCCCAGGGTCAGGGGCCTCAGTGACCTCCACCATGGGGCACAGGCCTTGCTGATATGGGGCACAGCCTGCTTGCAGCCCCCTCCTGCACCCCACTGCTCTGGGACCCGGGACCCCCACAATGCCGCCCCAGCACCCCTGGGCACAGCTGTGGGGGGGCCGTGGGGCCACTCGCCTGCTTCATCCGAGTTGTCGGCGAAGCCGCAGTCCAGCTCTCCATCGCAGACGCGTCCCGGGGGGAGGCAGCGGCCGCTGGCGCAGCCAAACTCGGGGGGGGGGCAGGGGGAGGGGGGGCAGCCGTCCTCGTCAGAGCCGTCGGGGCAGTCGGGCACGCCGTCGCAGCGGGCGCCCCAGGCCAGGCACTGCCCGCCAGCGCAGCGGTGCTGGTGCGGGGCGCAGCGCGGGGCGCAGACTTCATCCGAGCCATCCCCGCAGTCCTCCTCGTTGTCACAGACCCAGGCGCCCGGCACGCAACGCCCATCGGCGCGGCAGGCAAACTCCCACTCGGCGCAATGCGGCGAGGACGGGCACGGCTCCGGCGAGGACGGGCAATGCCACCGACCCGCTGTGCACGTGCTGTAGGAATGGGGACGGCTCAGCCCTGGGGTGCTCCCCACCATCCTGGCGTCACCGTCCCGGTAGCCCGGCTGCTGGCAGGTGCTGGATGGCTGTGCCAGCACCAGGCGGGGAGACTCACCAGTTCTTGCAGCCCTGCTGCACCGTGGCACCGGCCGGGAAGGCAAAGCCGTCCCAGAAACATGGGCACTTGGCGGGCTCGATGCAGCCACCATCTGCCAGCGGAGAGGGGAGGAGGTGTCAGCCCCATGCCAGCCCCATATCAGCCCC